TGAACCTCAAAATCCATACACAGAACATGGATATAATAATAGTACTTACCTCCACAAGGTTATTGAGAAGAATAAATGAGATGATAATGTATGTAGAACTGACCACACAGTAAGAATTCAATACATGTTAAACTATTATTAAAAATGCAAATAAATGAAATTCTACATACAATTTCAGAGTTCCACAGACTTCTAGAGATCCTCAGGCTGGTGTCTAAAAGTCAGGCAGACAGCAGCTCCCACCAATGCCTACTTTTTCTCTGAATGCCATCAGCATTTACTGAGCATCCTCTGTGTACAGGGAACTGACCCACAGGAATATCCTGGATCACCAGTGTTGCCTGCACACTTAAGGAGTAGGGATCATCTCCATTCTGCTGATGAGGTGAAGAAACTTGCCCGAGGTCTCATGATGGCAGAGTTGCTGTGGAAATTTGTCTTCTACAAGCTGTCGTCCTCTGAGGAAGACTTGTGAGGTTTCCTGAGGATGGAGGCTGCTCTTCATTCCGCTGTTATGTCTGCAACACTTGGTGTGCAAGAGATCTTGAGTTTTAGTTTGTCTTTAAGGTGTGTCTCTTGTAGGCAACATATAGACGGATCGTGTTTTTCTATCCAATCTGCCATTCTCTGTCTCTTTAGTGGTGCGTTTAGTCCATTTACATTCAGCGTAATTATTGATAGGTATGAGTTTAATGCCGTCATTTTGATGTTTTTTTTTGTGTTCACAGCTTTTGTTCCACTTTATTTTCTGTGCTGAGTCGTTTTTCTTTATGTATTTTCATCTTTTTCATTGTTCTTGATTTTGTGTTTGCTGAGTCTTTGTATTTTTCTAGTCTTTTATTTTGACTTGTTGGATTGTTAGCTTCCTTTGTGGTTACCTTAATATTTACCCCTATTTTTCTCAGTTTATACCAGTCTTTTATTTCTTTATATCACCTTGACTTCCTCTCCATATGAAAAAATCCATGTCTACATTTTTTTTTTATTGTACTTCAGGTGAAGGTTTACAGAACAAATAGTTTCTCATGAAACAGTAGTACACATATTGTTTTATGACATTGGTTAACAACCCCACAACATGTCAACTCTCTCCCTTCTCGACCTTTTTTTTTTTTGGTGAAAATATACATAACCAAAGATACACCATTTCAAAAATTTTTTTTAAGTCCCTCTTTTTTGTTTTAATGTCATCATCTTTTACATACTGACATCTGTTTGCCTATTTTCAGTGTTTTACCTTGATTTACTTTCTGGGTTGACATCTGGTTGGTCTGTCCTGTGTTCTAGTCTTGAATTGTTATCTGATGTTACTGATTTTCTAACCAGAGGACTCTCTCTAGTATTTCTTGTAATTTTGGTTTGGTTTATTGCAAATTCCCTAAACTTCTGTTTATCTGGAAGTGCCCTAATTTCGCCATCATATTTGAGAGACAGTTTTGCTGGATATATGATTCTTGGCTGGTAGTTTTTTTCCTTCAAGGCTTTATATATGTCATCCCATTGCCTTCTTGCCTGCATGGTTTCTGCTGAGTAGTCCAAACTTATTCTTATTGACTCTCCTTTGTAGATGACTTTTCATTTATCCCTAGTCTCTCTTCAAATTATCTTTATCTTAGCAAGTTTGATTATAATGTGTCTTGGTGACTTTCTTTTGGGATCTACCTTATGTGGGGTTCAATAAGCATCTTGGATAGATATCTTGTCATCTTTCGCAGTATCAGGGAAGTTTTCTGCCAACGAATCTTCAACAATTCTCTCTGTATTTTCTGTTATCCCCCGTTCTGGTACTCCAATCACTCGTAGGTTATTCCTCTTGATAGAGTCCCAAATAATTCTTCGGGTTTTTTTAAAAATCCTTTTGTCTGATTTTTCCTCAAATAAGTTGCTGTCAACTGCTTTATCTTTGGTCTAATTCTGACTTCCATTGCCTCAATTCTGCTCCTATGACTTTCTACTGAGTTGTCTAATTCTGAAACTTTATTGTTGGTCTTCTGGATTTCTGATTGCTGTCTATGGATTCTTGCAGCCTGTTAAATTTGTCATTATGCTCTTCTCTAAATCTTTTTAATTTCCTCTATTGTGTATTCTGTGTTTTGCTTAATTTCCTTCCTAATTTCTTGAAAAGTTCTGTATATTAATCTTTCGTATTCTGCCTCTGGTTCCTCCTCTGGAAAATTTCTAGATTCTTTATTTTGGGAGCTTGCTGAAGCCATCATGGATTGCCTCTTTATGTGATTTGATATTGACTGTTGTCTCCAAGCCATCAATAATTATTATATTTATTTATTTTATGTTTGCTTACTGTGTCCAAGATTCTTGTTTTGATATGCCCAAATAGGCTGCTTGTATGAGCTAGTTTGATTATTGCCACCTTTGAAGCTCTAATGTCCTGTCACCAGGTGGTTAGATATGTTACTAGGTATGTGAGCTCAGGAGTCCGCCCACTCCTCCTATATGGCTTCAGCTCAGGTGCCCAGGTAGATAGGCACCAAGTGTGTGGTGTAGGCTCTCACTTACAGTCCTAGATAGGCACTGGCATCTGGCTGCAGTAGGGGGACACACTCTGAGCAAGGCAGGGGGCTGACGGTCGCCCCTGAGTGGTCCATGAGGAAGGCGTGTCCCTGTTCCCTACAGCGCATAAGTGGGTGGGTTTTGCAGCCTGACTATGAGCACCTAATGCTGTTGGCTGTAAGGACTGGGGGGCAGCTCTTACTCATGGGCGCCTATCACTGGTGGAGCCACCAGTCCTCAGGTCTCTGATGTGGGTAGGTGAATACCCTGCTTAATGGGCAGAGCAGTGTCAAATGTCAAGAACCTACCACTGCAGAGCTGAAACAGTTGAAGTTAGACTTCCAGTATATACCCTGTTGTACTGTGGTAACAAGGGCCTACGCTGTTGAGATGAGCCCACACAAGTCTGTGCAGGTGGAAAGGCACTCGAAGTCCATGGATCCCTTATGCCTGTGCCTGAGTTCCTGGCTTAGGGTAGCCGGCAGTTTATTTTTTCCCCCATTTGTTAATTTGTTCACTCTCCAAGGCAGGAAGAATGGCTCCAGGCATGTGACGGATCCTACTTCCAGCTCAGGGGACGCGCAATTGCTGAAGCCGGTCTGGGACCCAGTGCAGAGCAGGGAGCAGGGAGGCAAATGGGAGACAGGTTTTTACCCAAGGTGGGTGTTTCTGATCTGTGTGGTAAGCTGTACACAAGTACTTATCTTTCGTGGAGGGCTGCTTCTCACTGGTTCTGGGTGGCCGTGTAGACCCTCTGGTGCTGGGTCTCTGCCAGTGCAGAAAATGCGCCTCCGGAGCACCATCGCTTGCGTGCCTCACCGCTCGGCCCCAAGCTGCTCAGGCCTGAAGGGCTCAGGCTGTCACTGGGTCAGGTCTGGCAACTCCTCGCTGCTTCCAAACTGTCTCTCCCTCCCCCTGCCACTCGGTCCAGTTCCTCAACTCTGCCTTTGATGTTCACGGCTCCCAGACTGCCATAGATAATTGAATCACTTGTTTTTTCGGGTCTTTGTTGTAACAGGATCCACCGGAAGCGTCTGACTACTCCGCCATCTTGGTCCAGCCTCTGGTGCACAAGAGATCTTGAGACACATGCCCTGAGTTCCCAGAATTGGCAGTGGCTTCTGCATAATCAGTTCTGGCAGTGTGAGTGTCCATGAAAAAGAGCTCTGACCTGAAGGGCCCTTCTTGCCAGTAGAGCTGCACAAGTCACTAAATCACTTAAGAAACAAGGTCAAGAGGACAGACTCTGGTATCAGAAGCTGAGTTTGAGTCCCGGCTCTGCCCCTTATGTGTGACCGTAGGAACGTTACTTCGTTTCTCTGAGTCTTGGTTTCCTCACTCATAAAACAGTTCCAACCTCATGAATGAGGTTATGGGTGTGAAGCCTTGGCACAGCACCTGGTGCAATGTTTGTCCTCAAGGAACGGCAGAGATTCTCGGTTTGCAGATGAGAAAACCAAGGTTCAAAGAAGTAAAGAAATGACAGCACACCTTGTCTTCTTTCGGTTTTTTTCAACTACACTATGCTGCCTCCCAGGCAGGTTTGACAAAGTATTTCCCCTCAATTGGTTACATGATGACCAAAGAGTGGAAGAAAATTTTCATGTGGCATTTAAATAGCTCAGGAAACGAAAGCACCAGAGAAAATAAGTCACGTGGACACCTGAAAATGACTCTGCAGAAGTGGGAATGTGGTGAGACAGAAGGGGGAGGGCTGGCTCAGGGGGCAGGCGCTAAAATGCCAGTGATGACTCTTCCCTTCTCAGTAATAAGAAAGCCTGAAAAGAAATGGTGGCGCTTCAAGCTGAGTGCCCTCTGGTTTCAGGAACAACAGTCATTTCTCAGAAACCTCACTGGCAAAGACACCCCTTCCAAAAAGCATAAACACTTCAGTCTGGACAAATGATTTAAGCTCACTTTTGCTAGGAAGGACAAAGAAGCAACCAAGGGTATTAAAGAGACAGAAAAGGCAACCAAAAATCTGGCTCAGGGATTAGAAGCACTGGTTTTCTAGACTGTGGACAACTGTCTGTTCAACAGTTACCCAACCTGACAAATAGATATTTTTATGTGTACCTCACCAACTAACATTTATCCAGTGTCTGTTGTGTGCCAGGCACCAACCAAAAGCTTCTCCTTATAAACTTCATTTAATACCAGCAAGTCTGAGGAGATGGCATTACCAGCCTCCTTTTTCAGGTGAGGAAACAGGAACAGAGTGAATGACTGGCTGGGTTTTATCCTAGGTCCCCTGAACTCCAAGCACAGTGCTGTCTCCACTAGACCAACCTGCCTTGTCCCTGGACTTAAGGAAAGTCTGCATATGAACTGAAGGTCAAGAGAATGAAGGCTCCTCTTAAGAATAAACACTTAGATCTCTAACATAAGGCTTCTACTAACCACAAGAAAGGGCTTCCAAGCCAGGTCCAGAATTCAATGTCATTTTTCTAGCCCAGATCCCTTCAAAAAATGCCACAACAGGGGATACAAACTTTTAACATACTTTATTGACTTAGAGGCCAAACAAGGCAGCATTTGGTCACTTAAGAAAGGCACCTCATTGAAAACAGTACATCACAGTGCTGTCAAGTGATCCCAGTCACAGGGTTTAAGGATGGAAAGGACAATCTTTGGAGGATATTGCTTAGGACACTTGCTTATTTATTAAAAAGGGTTCCTTCACACACAGTGGATGGAAGAAGGCAAGAGCATAGGATTGTGGCATGTGCTGGATGGCTGCTGAGAGCTGATCCACAAGAGCAGGTAGACTGGTAAATCGGTGGTAAGTCAGGGGAAGAGATTGAGACTAGCATGCTCTCCCCTCCCCATGACTCCAGTATAAACCTGATTTGCTAAGCCACCATCCCTATGAATGCACCCTGTATCTTTTTCAAATGTGGAGATGATTTTTTGATCTCATGGTGTGGGGAATCAGGTTCAGTAGTCAAAGTCTCCCTATTCCAAGCTATAGGACAGACAGCACAACAGTTCAATTTCCTGCATTCCTGGGCTGGCAACCCATGAGATTCTGAGATAAAAGCTGAGGTCTTAGGGCACTGGCTTTAAAAAATATTGTCACCAGTACAGAGTAAATCAAAACCTGATTCTGTAGAAATTATAATAGTGTATTTCCCTATTTCTACCCACAACCTCCATGAGTGTTTTTTTAAAAAAATTAATTTTCTCCTTTATTTATACTTTTAAAAAACTCCCACCTATGTGAAAAAGAAACCACCTCATTACAGTAACACTGCTGCTCTTTCAAATACTCCTCTTGGGCCCCTGATCACCCCTCCCTCTCCATCCTTACCCTAACCACCCCTCCCCTCTGCCCAGCACCTAAGAGCAGGGATCACGCCGTGGGGTGATGAGCAACGGTGCAGTCTCGCCTGGCCTTCTGTTACTAGGCTGAAATAGAGAGGAAACAAGAGAGAAACAAAATGGGTTTTTAAAAACCAAATAAATCAGAGAACGCTGGCATGCACGCCCCAGCAACCAAATGCATTAACCACTGGACATTTCTCTGCCAGGTGAAAGTGCTCATGCCTGCTGAGGTTAAGACTCTGGAATTAAATGAAGCAAAAATCTAAACCTAACCACCCAGAGAAGGGCACATGCATCCCGTGATCTTTTAGTTCTCACTGGCAGCCCATCACACACGCATGCGTGTACACACACATATGTGAATGCATGTGGATGGATGACAAATATTTCAGCAAGAATCATGCACGTTCAATTAACAAACACTCAGGGGCCTCAACTGTGAGGCCAAGTGTCTATAGCCAACCCCCATCAAAGGGAGTAGACTCTGAGATTCATGAGGCCACCCCCACCCAGAGAAGGATGTCCTTCCCAGTTCTCTGCAGGCACAGTTGATAGTTTTGGTTTCACTCCTCCTCCCTGCCCATTCCCAGAAGTCATGTGCTTCCCAGAAACACACAATACCAGACTGGATTTCCATTAAGAATGGGCAGAGTTAGTTTACAGCCAGAGAAACAAGGCAGAGCAGAGCCAACACTCACTTGGGCCAGAAAAAGAGGAAAGCAACAAGGCCACGTACCCATGCCCAGCTTCCACGTGGACAGGAGTAAGCCCTCTGGTAGCCCCACCGACAGCAGGAGAACTCAGGTCACATGGGACTGGGCCCTTTAGAGTCCATTCCACTGGGTCAGCAGATTACACAGAGGCAGGCAGCATTATTTACTGGAACTGCCACTGACTTTCTAATGGTTTTTCCAGGGCTGCTGTTTTTTTTGGTCCCTCACAGCAGTCTGTTAACTTGTCTGTCTGCCACAAATTAAAGCCAGAGACAAAAGGGCACAGCACAGACCCCAGGAAACAGTTAATGGTTGGGGAGCTGAGGTCAGGAATAAAAGCTGATTACTGTCATAGGCGAGCTCTTTTCAGGGGCTGTCTGTGGCCACAGCCACACGAAGTAAGGGGTGAAGGATTGGATCTGGAAGGGAAAGGGGTTGAGTTTAAAAGGAACACACTGATTTGGGATTCACATCCTGGAGAGACTGGGATTGAACAAACTCTGATCAAAATGAATCCAAGAATAAGTTACCTCATTTGGAAACAGAGGCAAACCTAAAAATTAAAACAAAAAAACCCTCCCTGGTCTCTCTTTGGGGAAGTGGATTTGGCTGTTCTCAGATGCCTAGCCTGAATGTTCAGATGATTATCTGAATTCAAAAGAACTTTTCACCTGGTTTAATTCTTTGGCAACAACTCAGTTTTCAAATACTGGTCCCCCAAAATTCCTACTGTACAGCACCATGACACAGATCACAAAAATATGCCAACTTGGCCTGGCTCTCTCTATGGTGATACCCTCCCCCAGTGACTTCTGGAATCTGTGATTAAGTGCCGTTTTTCTTCCATTTAGGGGAAAAAATTAATGATCCCTGTCTACACACTGACTCATGTGGATTGTCACTGTGGGCTAGAAAACAAGTGGAATTCCCTGCCAACAATCTGCCATCAGGGCCTTTGACCCTGTCTGACTTCATGTGGTTCTGGGCTTTTCCTCATCAGCTGCTGGAGATGGAATAAATACTATGAGGTTTTGGATTTGGGGTGCCTGGCAGATAACCTGGGTTAGTTTATTTTGGTCATATAATAAAACTAAGAGTGTGGCGTAAGAATTAAACTGCCGGTAAAGCAACCTAACCTGTAACTTAGAAAGTAGGAGAGTGTACACATAATTATACTCACACACACACAAACACACACACACACAGAGATGAGATGAGAGTTGCACACACACCAAAGATACATCAAGCAAGTGCTTCTTTAATCAGTACATCAAATGATATTCTTGCTGGTCTGAGTAAACTTCCCTCTGCCTGTCCTGTCATTCCCACCCCTCCTCAACAGGGACAGGAAAAAGAAAGAAATTCCTTTTTGCACCCAACATTAGATAAACATAACCAAGTCTTTACATGTGGCTTTGGAGAAGGCTGCTAGGATGCTTGCAAACACGACATCAGGGGTCTGGGATGCATCGATGGCACAGTGGATGCCCTGTTTCCGGTAGTAGTCCACCAGCGGGGCGGTCTGAGTATGGTAGGCTGCCAGGCGGATTTTCAAGGCCTTCTCGTTATCATCTGATCGGCGGACCAAAGGTTCCCCAGTGATCTGAGAAGAGGAAAGGGAATGAAAGGCAGGACTGTTACCAAGGTTTTCTATCTGATGCCAGATGCAGATTTGAGAAGGGACCATTCTGTCCAGGATGTTGTCTGATTCCGAAGTCCACCAGAGGAGAGACAGACAATCCAGAGCTGCTCCAACAAGGAACTTTACCACTCCTAAAAGCGGACCAGCTGGTCCAGAGAAGTCAGAGAGTCTGTCAGCAATAGCAAGCATGAGGAAAGGGGCTCTTGAGAGAAAGATGGGCAATGTCTTTCTCTCGCAGCTTTGTGCTCAGGCAGTTTAGCTTCCGTAATGAACACATATAGCGTCAGAAGCAAGGAAGACAGAGGCACCTGAGATCAGGAGAATATACTGACATCAGAGATTCATTACTGGCTATAACCTGCCTAAGTATTTAGTGTATTTACTAGAGTGTTAACCCATCAACAGTCTAAAAGTGGCAAGTGAAGTGAGAAAGAACTCTGTGAATGGTAGAATTACCAACTCTGTGAGATGTGAATAAGCTGAGATGATGGCTTTGGAACTTGTATTTATAGAACTAGGATGACCTGATGAACTTTATCTGGTGACAAAGATAAAGCTGAGAAATTCTTACTGCTGCCTGCATGCTTTGAAACAGATCACACGGACTATTTATGGCAAATGTTACAGTGAACATGTAAAATCTGTATGAGACCCTCCCCCTTATAATTGAAGACTGTCATAAGAACTTGACATTATTAATCTAGCCAAGAGATTCAGGAGAGATTCTGAACCTGGAGAACACAGCAGAGTAGTCACTAGAGAGAGGACATCCTTCTGAGACTGCTCAGCAAATTTCTCTTTAGCACTCTTCTCCCCCTGCCCACTCCCCCACCCCGCCTCCTACCCCCTTGGCTCTAATTCTGGGCTGCTAAGCAGCCTTCTCCTGACTAGTTGACCACTTAGGTCACCATGATGCCAGAAAGGGGTTGCTCCAGACAGACGAGAGGTACATTCTGGGTCCTGGGAAGGCAGCTACCTCAGGGTCAAGCAGTAAACCACTTGGGGAGACACTGTATAGATCAGCCACAGCTCATCTGACTTATTTGGTAGTGATATTTCTCATTGTTAAGTTAGTAATGTTGGTGGAAATAAAGGGAAGATGGAAAGAACAAAGAAAGAAAATGAAACAGCAAACGAAGAGGAAAGAAAAGAAAATTTCCTATCCTGAGTTCACGTACATCATCTTTCATGGGCTCCTTTGGGGGGCTGAACTCCTCATGGTAGGAACGGCCACTCGTGGGGTGAATCAGCCTGAAAGACAACAAATGAACATGAGCCAGGTTGCCTGAAAGTACAGCTCCAGGGTTGGTAGGGTGACAAGCAGAGACAGAGAAACTGGATCTAAGGACTTTCACCCAGCAGAGAACCCAGCTAAAGGCATCTCTTGCTTAGGAAAATAACTGGGCTTCTAGGACAGCTTATGCCAGAGTTGGTATGTTTTCTAATTTGCCCAAACATGAGTATCTGGCTCAAGAGGCCAACTGCTGGCATAACTACCTAATTCAGGACTTGAGAGAAGGAACTCTGGTGCTGGTCTCACACCGTTAGCATCCTATTCATCTGTCCATTCAGCAAACATTAACTAAGGCCTTAAGCTGAATCCAGGGGCTACAAAGAACTAGTCAAAATCCTTGCTCAGTGCTTAATTTAGCAGAAGAGAAAAACATGGGAATAAACCTCATAAATGTGGTAATTCTCTACTAGATTTGTTTGGTTACAAAACCAGAAAGACGTCACAGGAAAAATATGTCCCACGGATGTAAACACCACCAGCCAATGTAGCACACCTTTGAGGTCACACAGTTAAAGGACAGACTAACTATTATAGGGCAATATTAAACAAGTCATGGAATAAAGAGCCTAAGAACAAGTATTTATTTGGAACTCAATGTGTAGCTGGTCACAGGCATGCCCAACACTGCTCAGCAGCCAGGACTCACTTGAGTTCATGCAGTTTCCTAATTCTGAGCCAACCAGGTGTTTGCTTTTTTAACTGATGGCTACTTTCCTCATGAAAGTCTGTTAGACCAGAGTCTCCCAACATTTTCCACATCGTGGCACACACAAAAATAATTTTTGTACAGAACTTGGGGGTAAACAGAAGAGGTTGTTTTCTTCTCCTGGGGGAGTTATCACCACCCCAGGCCCTGCCATGCTGTTCTGACGGCTGAGGGAACCAATATCTTGGCATATCCGTTGGGAAATTCTGTGTTAGACTATTGAAGCCACACCTTTATAAAAAGGGACACTGTGTTTTAACCATAGCACATTTTTGGGGGGCCAGGTGGTCCAATTATGGTATAGGTGGGAGTGGGTGTTGGGGAGAAAGGTCACAGCAGAGAAAATAAGCTATACTGAGGAGTGAGTTTGTCTGTGACCGCAATCATGTACTGTGAGGTTGGGCCCTCTTTTATTTGAGTCCTTGGAGGGGCTCCTCTGGTGCAGAGCTGATGGCATCAGTTGGGAGACCCAGGGAGAGGAATAACACAGGCTCTGGCCTCAGCCGCAGCTTTCTCTTTGGAAAGGGTTGGGGGCATGAGACTTGGGCCACGGTATCTGTTCCCCTTCTGCAGAACATACAGCACATATACCCAGACTGCAACAAATACGACACTCTTCTTTCTACATCTCTACACTTACCACTCATTCCTAGATCCCCTCAACTCTCCAGTTACACAAAACACATTGCTCTTTCCCCACTCACGAAGATCATTTTAAGAGGAATGCAAGGCTCATTTCCTAGAAGGGATATGAAAGAAAGAAAGCCCAATTTCCAAGTTCTCGATTGGGACTGGTCTCAAGTACCAACCAAAACAGTGCCACAAGCCACTGAGCCTGGCCTGGAGGAGGTGATGGCATGGAAGGATCAGGTCTGGGATGCTACCTTGTGTGTGACACTTTAGACATTAGGATAGTAGTTACCAGAGCCAACACTGAATAGATTAAAAAAAAAAAAAAAACAACTAGACATACATATTCAAGAAATAAAACAATACTTCATAAAATTATTAGAAATGAGGCCAGAGCTAATTCAGAAGATTGTTACAGTGTGGTCTTTATCACCTCAGGCTTAGAAACGATCCATATTAAACCAACTAGTTCCTGCCTCTTTTTTCTTCCAACAATCAGTGCAGTGGACTAAAGGCGAGAAAGCAGACTTCTGGTGCTAGCTCGGCAACTGATCTGCTGCGTGAACTTGGAAAAACAGCTTTACTAGTCTGGCCTGCCTGGTTTCTTCCTCTGTGAGGGAGGGGTTCAGACTAAACCACCCACTTCCAAACTGAAGGAGCTGAGTCTTCTCACTTTGACCCTCTACAGTAACTCTGCAGTTTTGTTCTTTAGAATCGCTCTGTTCTGTACCACTCAACCCCAGTTCAAGGCCTCTATCACTTCACATGTGGGTCATGACCAGGCTTCTAGGTGGGGTCCTTGTCTGTTTCTCCCCTCCCCTACTTTAACCTGCATGCCTCAACCACCAAGCTAATGTTCTCAGAATGCTGTTTCTCCCACAATATCCAATGGCTCAAGAACCAACTATGCCTCCTGACTTTGTCAAGTCTACCTCTTCAGCTTGGCAGACCTTCCCCAGTCAAGCTGCCATCTTACTTTTCCAACAGCACTCATTCTACTACCAGCCCTCCAGCCCACTCCTCCAACTTTGGGTAGACATGTCTGCCATTAGCCCCAGGTAAAAATGCACTCCGCCTCCCCCACACCTTCCTACCTTTAAGGAAAGTCTCACTGAAACCCTCCTTATCCAGGAAGGTAGACTTTGACATTACATCTTTCCTAGTCAGCCTTCCCTTCCTGCCCCTAGGTTCTCTTCTTGGACTTCCTACTGTACCAAATAGCCCAGCTCAGGTTTGTAGACTCTCAAGAGGTCAGAGATGGGCCTCATATTGTTCTTCTATATCTCCTCCAGTGCCCTGCTTCTGGTACCTAGCACTGTGGTGTGCACAAAGCAGGTGCTCAGGAAGCTGGGCCAATCGAATCAAAGGCCCCTGGTGTCACCTGCTTCTGCTAACATCTCCCCTTCCCTAGGCTGTGCACCTCAGAGACGCCAGCCCTGGTGATGTCCCTACTGTCAACCCTATCTCTTCTTGGTCTAGATCAACTTTGCTCATCTATTCTGTGCCCAGTGGGGATGCAAAGAAGTAAAAGACAAGGTCCCTGCATTGAAGGAGTCTACGGAATAGCTGAAAACATGAAACCTAGACAGTTGAAAAGAAATTAATATAAGGTGGATCCTCTGTATCTTGTATAGCCTTCCAGGTAACATCTCTAGCAGTTGCTTTGCTGTCTGTTTACATGTCTGCCTCTCCTTGAAAGTACAGACTACAGACACATGGACAAACATCGACCCACATTAGAAAATCAAAGTAATAAAATCGGAAATAAGAAAACATTTCCTCTCTAATTAAATAAAAAAACTTACATGCACTATGATGATCAAGCATCAATTTAACAGTGAACTATTGAAAGACACACAAATGTACAACAATATGAGAATGATCAAGTAAACGATGATTCATCTACTGCGGAGTATCATGCAGTAATTAAAAGTAATAGTCATGGATGTCTGGTTCAAGAGGGTGGGGTGACCGCCTTCCTGAGACTATTAAAATAACAAAGAAATAAAAAAGCTATTGCCCACAATAAAGAATGGGAGGGCACAATAAAGAATAGGAAGGCACAATAAAGGAAGGGAGGGTCCACTGGTAGTTGAGAGCTTCCAACACATTTCTGGAAGGCACAAAGCAGATGGGAGAATATTAGCAAAATAGGATACAGGAAACTGTAGCCTAAAGCAATAATTGTCTTTCAGAACAAACATGTTTAAAAGCAGAAGAAAAAGCATTTCTGTGCTCAGTGTTGACTATTAAAAAGAAACAAACACTTTAAAGCAAAACACACAAGAAAATAATAGTGGCCTTGGCTAAGGTGGCTGGACTATGAGCATTTTTTTCCTCCATTTTCTAAACTTTGTGTAGATGGTTATTTTTATAATTATTAAAAAGCCTATAGCAAGATATAGCAACCCCAACTGAAATCAGATAAAAAAAAGCACTAAAATAGATACACATGTAAGAAAATTAACATTTCTTGACCACCTACTATAAGCAAGGCTCTGAACCATGCATTTTATTATCTGACATGCATAGTAGTTCCTCAGAGCAGGTACTATTAACTCCACTTTACAGAGGAAGAAATAGCCTTAGAAAGGTTAAGAAACTCGCCTAGGGTCAGAGTTACAAGGTGACAGGACTGAGATGCTGTCTGACTTCAAATCTCTTGCTCTTCTTTCCCCATCCCCATCCTATGTCACCACTTCAGCAGATGTCACCAAATAAAACCAATCCATGTTAAAAAGGCACTAAACTTTATAGCTGGGATTGAGCAATAGCAATTCCCACAGTTTGACAAAGTTTGAGGAAGCATAAGAAGAAGGAATCTTCCTATCAAGAGTTCAGGAGACAAATACCTTCCTGTGATTCTCCGGATGAGCAGAGTGTCTTGGATACTGAATTCAATCACAGAATCCAGCTTCTCTTTCCTCTTCTCCATGAGGTTGTCGAGCTGTAAAAGAATGTGTGGCCCACCTAAGCGACTAGAAATTAATCAAACCCATCTCCCTCAAAGGAATTAAGAGATAAAGGCTGAGAGTTTATTTTCATGCAATGATGATACAAAGGCTAGACAACCCACCATTTCTGCCTGCCTCACAGTCCGAGGGAAGCCATCTAAAAGAAAACCATTCTTGCACAAAGGGGTCTCCAAATTCTTCTCAATGAGCTCCACCACCATTTCATCACTCACCTAGAAGTCAAGAACAAAACAGCCTTGGGTTCAATCTGTTAACCGGATGACATTAGCCCAACTCCAGAGTCAAAAGTTTGCACCTGCGTACCCTGCTTACTAAACAGCATGACTTCTTGACCTCAAAGAAGCAAATACCAGGGCAAATGTGGAGCGGCTCTATTTGGAAGATCAAGATTCATGATTATTTCTGTGGCTGCAATAGACACATTCTCTTCCCTAGAAATTCTCCTGTGTCCCAATAATCTGGGTGAGAGAAGATCCCACTGCCTGTCACCACATGAGGACAGCTCCATACATGTCTTAGGTCTTAAAGGTCTCTCCTGACACTAAAGTCAGTGTCCTAACCATCACATAACAGCTTATCAGCGATCAGCCGTCCTCAAGGCACAAGAAAGGTAGGGTATGTGGCTGAGAGGTCACCTGAGGAGGGCTCCAGGAGAGAATAGGGGTTAGCCAGGATGCAAAAAGGCACCAACTTTCACTGTTCCACAATTTTGCTTAGGCTAACAGTAATGTGACTGAGGTGTGTGCTTGATCACATACCTGGACCATTTTGGACACGTGGCAACAGAGAAGTTCACTGAATTGGCAAGATGGAGTCAAAACCAAGGAATCAAGGAGCCATCCCAACACACCTCTGCACTTTTATAAAAATCCCAATGAGGACCCTTTCCAGCTTTCAAAAACTGGTTATTTTCCTGGGTCTCACAGAAAGAAAAGTTCCCTTGCAGCATTACAGTGAAGGCTGCCCAACTCGGCAGTTAATGTTCTTATCTCCCAGGACCAGCTGTGAACTTGGGGACAAAGTATAAGTGAAGGCTGGAGATTAGCAATCTCACTGCCACATTCAAGTTTTTTTTTAGTACAGGATCCTCTGCCAAGACCCAAAGTCCAAAATATCTGGCTTTCTGGCTTCACTCAAGGCCTCACTAATACCAAGGGAAAACTAGAAAGGAGGCCGGCAGGTGGGCAGGGGGCATGCAGTGCAATTAATTACTTTCGTGTGTGGCCTTTCTAGCTGTGGTCTTGTAACTCCCACCCAGATGACTGTGTGATAGGGAATGTGGCCTACCAGGGGGATTGGTCAATTTTGTCTTAAAAGAGAGCCAATTTCAGGGCAGAGAGGAGGAGCCCACCACCACCAAGGAAGGAGAGATGCTACAGCAGCAGACAGCGTGGCAGGCTTCCTGGTCCATGGAGAGAGAAAGCTGAGTGCCTTTGGACAGAGGCTGAGGGCCAGGGAGAGGGGTGACTGAAACCACTGCTGGCAAGAGGCCATCCTGATAGAAGAACTGTATCTTGAGTGTTCCTGAGCCTGAATTGTAACTGTTACTTCCCTGATAAACCCTATAATTGTAAGTATGGTCTGTGAGTTCTGTGTGGCCATTGCAATGAATTATCGAACCCAGTAGAGAGTGCTGTGGGAGGGACGGTTGGTGTCAGAACTAGTAGAGACAGCAGAGAGAAGGAGGTGTGTCTGACGTCCACCTCAAAGGAATCAGCCTTGGGCTGTTGATCTTGGGTCTCCTTCCCCATTGTGGGGTTGGAGGAGGTCAGACATTTCCCCCATGCCGTTTTTACAGGGCACCATTCACCAGCCCTGGTGGCGAAGTGGTTAAGAGCTCAGCTGCTAACCAAAAGGCCGGCAATTTGAATCCACCAGCCGTTCCTTGGAAATCCTATGTAGCAGTTCTACTGTGTCCTATAGGGTTGCTATGAGTTGGAATCCACTTGATGGCAACAAGTTTGTTTTGTATTCTACAGAATCTCAGAGCCTAACAGGAAGTAACTTGGGGATGAAGGCAAAGTCCAGCACCTTCCCCACCAACATTCTAAGATATGTAAAGACCAGAGGACCAAGCATAAAATGACTTCTGAAGGCCATTCCCAAAGGCTGGGTCCCAGAACAGCTCAGTTACAACTAAGCTCTAGTACTAATCAAGAAGATTTATTGGACAACAGATTATACTCGGTCAATCAAACCAACTGTCCTAAAACTAAGAGAAAATGTTACTGTATCTCCCTGATAGGAAGGACTACATTCATCACAATTGCCAAGTGATTCCCCTGTAAAGAGACACAGAACACAAAGCCACAAAAGTAGGTTAAAAAACCCTTCTGTGGCTTCATGAATCCTCTCTTGAATATATATCCCTGGTTTCTGGCCTTAGGGATGGCAGTTTCATTTTAGCTCTAAAAACTGGGTGTATTACAAAATATACCAGCACAAAGTAACCTTGAGAATAATGAATAAAATAAAAATAAGTAAGTGCCATAAATACAGAACAAATGAAATAACCTGCTACTCTAAAAGTCCATATATAATCTGCCAGTTTGCTAAATACCCTACAGCCCAGGGCTGTCACAAAGAACTTTCTGGCTAGTGAACACTTGAAATGTGGCTACTGTGACTTAGGAACTGAACTTTAATTTAAATGAATATAACTAGTAGCATCTTAGTTATCTAGTGCTGCTATAACAGAAAGACCACAATTGGTGGCTTTAACAAACAGAAATTTATTTTCTCACTTTAGAAGGCTACAAGCCCGAATTCAGGGTGCCGGCTCTAAGGAAGGCTTTCTCTCTGTGTCAGCCCCTGAGGAAGGTCCTTGTTCCTTCAGCTTGTTTCCTGGTTCCCTGGAGATCTTCAAGTGGCTTGGCATCAGTCTTCCCCATCTCTGCTTGTTAGCTTCCTTGTTTAATCTTTTATATCTCAAAAGAGATTGACTCAAGACACACCCTACACTAATCCTGTATCAATGTAACAAAGGTAGCCCGTTCTCAAATGGGATTATAAACACAGATACACCCAAAAACGAAACCTGTTGCCCTTGAGTCAATTCTGACAAATAGCGCCGCTATAGGACAGAGCAGAACTGCCCCACAGGGTTTCCAAGGAGCAGCTAGTGGATTTGAACTGCTGACCTTTTGGTTAGCAGCTGAGCTCTCAACCACTGAGCCACCAGGGCTCTACCACAGGCATAGAGGTTAGAATTTACAACACGTATTTTGTGGGGGGGACGACACAGTTCTATCCATAACAACTAGTTACATGTGGCTGGTGACTACCATATTAGATAGAGCAGATCTAGACTCTGAGGAATATCAACACTCACTGGTACCACCAAACCTACCAGTTTCCCAGCATCCATTGTTGCCTTCAGCTTTTTTCCTAACTCTGAGCCAGAAGCCACCATGGCCCTCAGCATGTCCCCAGTAGCCAGATGGCAGACACAGAAGTTTTCGGCCAATTTGGGTGCCTGTGGAGAGAAAGACAAAAACCAAGATACAGTTAATGCTGCAGGTCCTGAAACCATACTGCCTGGGTGTGAATCTGGTCCTGCCACTTAGCGGTTGTGTGAACTCAGGCAAATGCCTAGGGTATTTCCTTGCCTATAATACAGGGATAATAGTACTTTACGTTATGTTCTAACGTACAATAACTATAGGGTTGTGGTGAGAGTTACATGAAAAAATACATGTAAAGCACTTAAAACAGTGCACACAGCACATGAGAAACTGTGATAAATATTAGCTATTATCACTACTTCCACTAGACACACTAGTGACACATAAGTCTCAGTTTTCCATTATAAATGGGCAGAATAAAAATAAGAGCACCAACACTGCACATGGACGCTGTGACGTTTAAATGAGATAATGTATATAAAAGAACTTGAAACAATGTCTGGCACATAACATGTGCTGAATGGATATTTGCTGAAGGAAGGGTTGTGCGATAGTCATGTACTGTAGCCACTCGGCCTGGGATGCAGCTGGGGCAGGGTGAAGAACATCGGTTTGCCTGCAGGCAGACCTGGTTCTTCTCTTCCCCATCACTAGGTAGCTGCATTATCTTGGCCAAATCACTTAACCTCTCAGAGGCTGTTTCTTCATCTGTTTAAAATGAAGGCAAAAAAGGTTCCATATGAAGAGTACCTGGCAAATAGAAAGCATTTAAATATTAAGTTTTAGGAGGCAGTATAGCCTTTCGGTTAAGAGTCAAATTGCCTGGGTCACAGACTCCAGGCAACCAATCACTAGATACGTGATTTGAGAAAAGTTACTATACCTTTCTAAGTTTCAAACTTCCTCTGAGTAAAATGGAGACAGTAATAGGACCTACATCACTAGGCTGATGAAAAGATTATATAGAATTTGGCATATACAGGGCCTGGCACATAGTAAATTCGCAATGAGTGTTGGCTGTTACTATAACCCCTGCCCTAATTCCATATTCATTCATACAGAAAGAAAACATTTACGGAATGCCTCTTCCAAGAACCCTGCTGAAAGCCAGGGAAACAGAGATGTATAGGAGACACATACCCTGTCCTCAAAGAGCTCACAGTTTGATGGACTACACATCAGAATGCAGAATTAGAAAGGAAGAGACTCCGGACAGTTCAACACTGGTTTTGTAGTGGCAAAAGAGAATGTAGGATTCATGGGGAATAGAACCAGTTCAAGAAGCAAAATACTTACCTTGCTGGTTCAAACTGTTTTATAAAATTAGTAGGTCTGGACCCTTGTTCAAACCAATTCATCAGATGTTTCTGTTGATGTATGCCGTCGAGGCGATTCCAACTCATAGTGACCCAGTGTGACAGAGTAAAACTGCCCCATAGGGTTTTCTAGGCTCTAATTGTTATAGGAGCAGATTGCCAGGTCTCTTCTCCTGCGGAACAGCTGGTGGCGTTGTACCACCTCCCTTTCACTTACTGGCCAACTAAGTGCTTAATCATTAAGCCATTAGGCACACACAAAAAAAAAGGTTAAGTAGCTCGGGCTCAATGCAGCAAATTCTGCTTTGTGATTCACGGACTGATTCAGTTCAAACAAAGAAATGACTTCATAGCAAAATGAAACTCAGTTGAGAAGAGGTTAAAACTTTGCACTTTGGAACACCAATGAAGGTCAGGACCCTCTGGCAATGGAAGACCTTCTGGTCCTCCAGGCTAGCACTGTGACCACGCTTCTAGAGAACAGAACAGTGCTTTCTGCCAATCTTTCTCCTTGGCTGTTGAAATCAGCTCGGATGAACAATTTGAAGGTCAGGCTTGCTTAAGGAGAAAGGCTGACCAAAAACAACTCAGAAAAGAGCCATTAGCACAGAACCTACTTGTTCTATTTTTATCACCTCCAAACTGCAGGACTCTTATGTGACTGAAGTCTACAGCTGTATGGAAGAACACATACCAATAAAAAAGACATGGCAAGATGAAAGACTAACTCCTTCATTCCCTGCTGGCTGCCTGGAGGTCAATGTGGTAGGCTGCAAAGGGCATGGACTGTGGAGAGAGATTTGTACTGTAAGCCTGGCTAAAGCTCCCAATGGCTGTGTGACCTTGGGCCAGTTACTTAACTTCTCGGAGTCTTAGTTTCCTCACCAGTCAAACGGGGATAATGTTCACTTCATAGGGTAGTTGTGAGGGTTAAATAAGTACCAAACATATCCGGCACACAATAAAAGATCTTCTTTCATGGTCTTTCTTCTTTACATTACTTTTTATTTGCAAACTGCAGAAAAAGCCTGATGAAATAACTATTATAACCTCCTCACACTTCAAGCTTTAACGTGCACACAAATCACCTGAGGATCCTGCTAAAATGCAGATTCTGATTCCATAGATCTGGGGTAGGGCCTGAGCATCTATCTGCATGTCTAACAACCTTCCAGGGGATGCTTGAATGAACCACACTTTGAGATGGGATCTAGAGCTCAGGCAATCACTCGGTTGCTGCTGAGGCCCTGAGTCACTGGTGGCTCACAAACCATGGACTGTTACCGAGCCCAGGAACCAGGCTCATCACCATTAAGAGTCAACAGGGAGCTTTTGGGGGGAGTGGGTGGAAATGGCAAAACGACAGGAGAAGCAACACTGTGGGTTTAGTGGTTCTCAAATATCAGTGTATTATCACAATCATCTGGGGCACTTGCTAAAAATACAAATGCCAGGTCCACCCTTTAGTTTATGACTGAGTGGTTCTCAGGCTGCCCTGGGTCTCTGACACACACGGTTTGAGAAGCCCTAGGTAATGGCACGAAACTGGGTGTTGCAGTGGTACAGACCTGAGTTGGAAACTGGGCCCTGTTTACTCACTGTGTCACTCTGAACAAGTTACTTAGCCTTCCTAAAGCTTCAGTTTCTTCATCCATAGAGTATGCTAACAATGTCTACTTTCAGAGCTATTGTGGGGATTTAACAAGATTATGTACGCAAAAACATTCAGCATATTGGCTGGCATTTAGGAAATAAAGGAAAACTATCAGTCATTGAAGGAGCCCTGGTGGTGCAGTGGTTAAAGCGCTAGGCTGCTAACGAAAAGGTTCGCAGTTGGAACCTACCAGCTGCTCCATGGGAGAAAGATGTGGCAGTCTGCTTCCATAAAGATTTACAGCCTTGGAAACCCTCTGGGGCAGTTCTGCTCTGTCTGACAGGGTTGCTATGAGTCAGAATCAACTCGAAGGCAGTGGGTTTGGTTTCGGTTTTATCAGTCATTGAGGAGCCCTGGTGGCACAGTGGTTAAGCACTCGACTGCTAACCAAAGGTTGGCAGTTCAAACCCACTGGCCTCTCCATGGGAGAAAGATGTGGCAGTCTGCTTCATAAAGATTTACAGCCTTGGAAACCCTATGGGGGCAGTTCTACTGTCCTTTAGGGTTGCTATGAGTTGGAATTGACTTGATGGCAACGGGTATCAGTCACTGAGATCTGAATTAATCCCAAACACCCCCGCTTTCTCACCTTGCCATTATCTTTCTACCTCCAGTCTTTCCCACTCCCATCTCCAATGCTTCTGCACACACAGCTGGAATCATTTCCTAAAATACTCTTGGACATGCCCCCCACCCTGCCCCAGTCACCACTCACATTTAGAAGCCTTCAACATCTCCCCAGTGCAACAGAGGAAAAGTCCAAATTTCCTGCCTTGGCACTCAGTGTCCTCCACCATCTACTTCTTACATATCTCAACCTCTGAATTTTTTACTGATCCCTGGGTGGTATAAAGGTTAATGTACTCAGTTCCTAACCAAAAGGCTGGAGGTCCACCTAGAGACACCTTGGAAGAAAGCCTGGCAATTTACTTTAAAAAAAACCCCAGCCATTAAAAACCCATTAAACACCCCCCACACCCCCACCGCCACACACGCGCACACACACAGTCGCCATGAGTCCGAATCAATTCCATGGCAACTGGTTACTGGTAGTCGTTGTATGCATACCCTGCACTCCTGCAGACAAGCTGCTCTATGTTTGGTTCCCAAAAACGTAAAATAAGTGCCTCTCCAAAGAGCTCAAGCTCTTCTCTATAGAGGAATGCCCTCTCCCTTCTCCGACTGGTCTAAGCATTACTCCTTTCTATGGTCAAATTCTGAGCACATTTCTCCCACCAAAAAACCTCTCCAAGTATCCCTTCTTCCTCTGAGGAGGAATCATATCAACATTACCTAACTTTAACTATTTGCAATGTGCCAAGCAATTTTCAATGCATTACTTACAGCATTTAGTGTACATAATACGTAATAAACCTATGAGGTAGAAACTATTTTTATCTTCATGTTACAGATGAAACTCAGAGGCTAAGTTGCCCAAGGTCACACAGCTAGTAACAACAGAGCTGGGAACTGGTGCAAGACTGTCAAACTCTAGCTCTTATCCATGATACTACATGGCATTAAAAACAAAAACAAAAAAATCACCCACAGAGCCTTACTGGCTATCCTTGGGGGAGTGTGTGCTTGCGTGCGACTGAAAGGGAGCACAAGGAGCACTTCACAGTGCTGGTAATGTTATGTTTCTTGACGTGGGTGTAAGCTATACAAGTGTGTTCTACATTGTGGAAATCCATCAAGTGGCTCACTTATATTTGCACGTTTCTCTCTATCTTATACAATTAAAAAGTTTTTTTTTAAAAAAATCACAGAAACCTGTATTTTAATTTCAGCTCCGCCTCTTGATTTACCATGTAACCTTAGGCCAGTGATTCTTTGAGACTGTTTCCTTATCTATAGATCGGAGGTGGACAGAAGGATGAATGGGAGACACTCAACAAATTATAGTTCTTGTTCTACCAGTTGCTGTAGAGTTGACTCCAACTCAAGGCACCCTCACGTGCATCAGCGCAGAACTGTGCTCCATAGGGTTTTCAATGGCTGATTTTTCAGAAGCAGATCACCAGGCCTTTCTTCTGAGGTGTCTCTGAGTGGATTTCAACCACCAACCTTTTGATTAGTAGCCAAATATTCAACCGTTTGT